TTAAAATTGTTATGGTGTTGTTTTAGTTTTTCTTTTTAGGCGTTTAATTATTTTTGGAATTTATTTAGTTTTTGTTTGGTTTTATGTGGATACAATTGTATTGGCCGAATAAAAATTAAACATTTTATGCGAGGTTTTTCATGAGTTGTATTTAATGGATAAAAAAGTCGAACTTAATTAATGTAGCAGTTTATTATACACGTATAAAGCTCAAATTTTGACTACTATCGTAAAAACTGCAGCATTTCAAAACACGTGTAACCGAACTTTGCTCATATAGCAATAATATTTAATTGTTGCAGCGTATATATGTATTATGTATACATAAATTTAATAATTTTATATATCCCACCTTCCTAACGTCTCATTTACAACAGTGCGTAACATATCCACTGGGGGGTGTCATTTCCCCCCACCAAAGTGGAGTAGTTTATATCTGTTTATAATAAGGTCTTTTAATTTAATATTTTTAGCACTATATTTGTACTTTTTCTTCCTCCCCCTCAAAATTGAGTTCTGTATCCGCCTCTAGCGCAGCAGTATTACAGTACAGAGTTTTACCCATTATCATTTTTTTTTTTATAAGCAGTGGTTGTGTGATATAATTATCGATATCAGGGTTATTATTATCATTATTGGCCAATCGGTACGATCGATGTCAATATTGTAATCCTCTTTTCTCTTCGGGAAGATGACGGGGATCAGGTTATCGGTAAACGTTAAAGCCGCTGTATCCGTGTTAGCGCACGTTCCATTTTGGTCTCGCCATCTCGGGATTTATCAGTGTCGTACGCGAGCGACAAAGTGACAATTAGGTTTTATAGTGAAGAATTTTATTGACTAAAATAATCAGAATCACTGTCTGTTCTAAAGAAAACATTTTTTTTTTTCGACTGAATAAATTCATGTATAGACTACGATTAGTGACATGACTACATGAGCAACGGGGAGGTGAGGGTTTATATTCTCCGTTGGGTTATTTATTTACTCACACATTTCACTGAATCCCCTCTCATTGAATATTCTTTTGCACGTCACTGACTATACAGACTACCTACTACCTTTTAAACATCTAACATTACCTGCATTAGACTATTTGTTATGTTGATGACGGAGTCGAGGCTCGAAATTTGTTCCATACATTTCTCGTGGGGAGGGGTTGTATTAGACAAAAAAAATACAGTTTTTCGTATTATAATTTCTTGCTATTTATGTATTGTAACCGATCATTTGCATCTACAGATATGACGAATTTCTGACTTTTTGTCGCCATTGGCTGAAAATTTAGTAACTTGGACTTGTGTAAATAAAAAATACTATATTCTATCTAAATTACATTATGTCTGGCGTTGTAAATTTAAAGGTTACGAGGTAGGTATGTAGTCGAAGGATTTACCGGAGGACGGATTGAATTTTAATAATTTAGTACTTGTGTTAGAAATTATATGTGAGGAGCAGATATTTGATGCGAGGGAAAAGAAGCGCGAGTATTTTCGCGTGTCTCGGGAGTGGAATTCCCAGAGAAATTATCGTGCATAACGTTTATTATGGCATGTGGGCCCGACGAGAAAATTAGTTTGAAGGGGAAAAAAAATAACCTTTTGCGTCGACGACGTGTTGTACAAACGGTTAAAAACGGCGCAGAATTAATAGTGGTAAATCACGTCTCGTGCATAAAAATCGAGCACGCGAGTCGCACGGAATTTTCTCGGTCTCCCGTGTATTATGTAATTATGCGATTTAATCTGTTTGAGTTCACGACTATAATATTATTATTATATGTTTTAACCCGTCACGAAAAGAAAAGAAAAAACTTGCAGATTACTCGATTTACGCCCGAAACGATAAGAGAAAAAAAGATATTGTGATCATACTGTATAATATTGTAATAATATTATTTTAGTCGTTGTTATTGAATCAGCGACACTGCGGCAGCGACCGACGACATTGTCATCCATATTGTCACGAAAACGTCTGCTGTTTATTATTTTACTGACGACGAGTTGATGTGGCTTATTTTCAAATTTCTATTTTGCTCCGATTTACAATGATAGCACTTTTTCTGAAAGGAAATCTGACTGGGGTGGTACTTTGGGAAGATCAGTTTTTTATTTTCTCAAGAGTTTTTCAAATAAATGAGAGAAACCGGGAAAAAATATGAGAAAACCGAGAGAACGGGAAAATAGGTATAATATTAAACAAATATTATTTAATGACATATATATTGTTGATAAAGCAACACTATCAGCTGAACTTCGCTCAGAATTGTTTTTTTGCTAACAATGATTAATCGCTGCTTACATTATAGATATACATTATATTCCCATCTATATCCTACCTTTCCAACTTCCCATCTACTGCAACCGTTTCCATTATCTTAGGACAGCTTTTTTATAATGCTTATATAATGTCATTTGATTTCAACCATAATATTTAGGCCGATTGAATTCCGAATAACGTCCAAAAATATATAAATTAAAAATTTATCTTTATTTTAGATTCTGAGCGTAACGAGGGAGCTATTAGTTTTACTAAGATATTTATTATTATTATTTTTTTTTTTGTTCTAGTATGTGGATACGTTTTTTCCTAGTAAACGTGTTCCGATTTTTACGTGTAGCAATTTTTCTGGAAGCTCAAGTTGTTTAAATGGTACATTATACTGGTAAATGGTACATTTTTTGTTTTTCGATGTAATTTTTTAAATAAAAGCGTATAAGTGGGAAAAAACGTAGGAAAACGTATAATTTCAAGATTTCATTATTATATAAAAACATAGACGACGTTTTCTACCAGAAAGAATGATTTAATCGAAAAACCACAATATACCTTTTTTGTTGCCTTTTTGATTTGATTTCTTACCGTATCGTTTCCAAAACTTTTGAGCTTTTAAGGAATTTTAATTTTTGAAGTTTTTTTCTGCAATTCGGTTATAAATACTCGTAGAAACTTTAAACTTGATAGTAATACTTATATTGAACTTATCACGTTTTTTTTTTTTTTTTTTAATAACCGTTTTAAAATCAAATTTAAACGATAATAAAAAAAAAAAAAAATTACGGTACTTCAAATTATGTATAACCGAACTGTGTTCGGAGCAATGGTTTATCGTTGCTTAAAGATATAAATGAAATAATCTTTTGTATCCTATCTTCCCAACTTCTCACCTAAAACAGTGGCCGCTCCCATCCCCAGTATCAGCTCTTTTGTTTTAACTTTATTTTCTCCGTAATGTCCAAAAACTGATTTCGGAACAAATCACTCGAAATGGTTTTATATATCGAATCGGGGTTTATTTTCGGTTAAAACTCTGAAGCTCTTGAAGCTAGCAAATAAATAAGGATGGCCGAAGATCCCAAGACGAAGCTATATTTTACTATACTTACTGATGATACGTGACAATAGATTAAAGGTTTTCTGTTTTTCCCATGAATTTACGATGGTCGAAGTCTCGAATAGGTCGAATAAGAAGCAATTATTGATATCGCACTTGTTTATCTATACGCGTATTTCGGGTGGAACATAACGAGCGACGGGTCCAGGACCTGGTACAGTATATGTTAATATGCCACCGGGTCGATGTTAACGTGAAACGAAAAATTAACATAAACGTAGTAAAGTGAAAATCGATAACGTTTCCTTAATACCGCGGTCCCGTAAAATACCGGTTTTCGTGCAGTGCACGTGCCTCGAGTGTTTGACTTAATTTTTCAAAAGCGTTTCGAAATACTTTGTACCATTAAAATATATAATTATTTCCGCGACGAAATATTTCGCAGTGGTGCACTCAGGATATTTGTTGTCAATGTAGACAGTGACGTATTCAGGGTTTTTATTCAATATAAAATTTATCTACGATTTTTACCAAAATATTTGATATCTTTGACTACAAGTTATTTGGTCTAATAAGGCTTTTGAATAAACAAGACACCAGAAAGTAATTATTTAATCATTTAATCTTCGTCAAAACAATTATTTTCAGTTTAAAAATTACAAAAGTACTCAAAAAATTGCAGTGCAATACGTGCAGTTTAGAAAAAAATTCAAAAACTTTTTTTTTTTATTTACCTAGGTATTTTTGAAATTCATTAATGGAAATTAAACCCTAGGGTACAGTTTCAGAAATTATTTATTAAACACGAATACCAATCATTTCAAAATGTGAACTAACCGACGTGTTTTTTACATTTTCTTTCTTTAATTTGTTTTACCGTCTAAAGGTTTTACTGTTTTGTTTTTCTCTTGTGACATTAACTTTATTATCATTGCATTATCAGGTTTTTTCGACGCTGTAGGTGTTATTGCAAGCCACTGTGGCTATAATTTTCTTTTTCAGCCCTTTTCCTAGACGGTGTACGATTTTCAAAATTTTCAAAATCCTTGCTATTTTTGAGCTATTTATAGCTATTTAAAATTTGTTTGGCTTTTCAAAAACGGTCGAAAATTATGTAAAAGATTCTTTTAGGTTTTCCTATGGCATTACAAAAATGTCGAAAATCCGCAGTCAGATTTTTTCGCAACGAACGCCGTTCCGAAATATTTATGTATTTTTTTGTTCGATATGATTTGTTTGTTTCGCATCGCGAATCTCTGTCCAGTATATTGCAATATATTATCAGCTTCTCTCTCCGGCCGGTATCATTGGTTAGATTTAATTTAGTCTTGGTTTCAGCCCTGGCTTATCAACTCTGTTGGGCTCGTCCCGTAATCCGTATTGGTAAATAAAGAAAACACGCAAAGATATTGTATAGGTACCGTTTCGTTTACAATACGATAACAATGTCATCCCGACGCCGCCGTGACCGTAAATATTTCTGCGATTTCGTATAAAATACACCGGGCAAAACGGCGACCGTACTCGGCTCTTCCGGCTTCCCGCGGGCCGCACGTCACGCGCGTACACTCAAAACGGAAAGCTGCGTGAATTTCCACGCTCGTACACACGCGCACGGACCCGCCACGCCGCCGCTGCTGTTACCGTCGCCGTCGCCGTTCATTCTCCGGTCGACCACTGTCGGTACTCGTTCGCGTTCCCGTATTTGCACCTACCAACACCGGACCGTCTACATAATAAATATTATTATAACGATCAATTTATTGTTAACGCCGGGCCGAACAAATTATCCAATCGCCGTAAGTATCAACATTATACTATATTTTTTCTGTTCGGGCGAAACTCTCGATGTCATTGTTGACAAGACCATCTTCAGATTCGAATTGTGTATTTTTTCCCTCGATACTTCGAACTCTCGCTCGAAAACATTTACGAATCGCGAATTTCAGCTCGATCCCCCGAATTTCGAACTAACGAGAGAATCCATACTGCGATATTCGGTATATGCGGTTCATAAGTGGATGATTATTGTTCAACACGCCACCGCAGCACGATCGACTCGTGAACGTCAATTGAATTTGACTTTTCCGAATTTCAGTTTCAACAATACCCAGTTGTTTTTAATATAATCGTTCAAAAACGTCGGAAAGGCGATATTTCGAGTATAGAAAGCGCACAACGGATGTTATAAACGCGATATAAATATTTTTTATATCGCTTTACTAAAATATATATCGTCGGCTACCCATTAGTAACTTTGCAAGTCGTTTTTCTTTTTTCTTTTTTTTTTTTGTATGTGTATACTGTATATGTATAAAACTTTTCTATCGGAAATCGTGTTCCAATTAAAAACTTTTAGGAACTTTCTTGTAACATTTCTGATCTAGTCGGTGATGTATTAAAGAGGTAGTTTTTTTGATTATCCTTGTAGCTTTCTTAATAACTGTTTTCACGGCAATGTAAAATGTGTTTTGAATCGAGCTTTTGATGTGTCACAAACGATAATGTAAGTTAATCAATCGAATCATCGGTACGTTTGAAATTAAATGCATTCAAATTATGTTACACTTGATTGTTATGGACAAAAACGTAAAATCACTGCGTTCAATCATCTCTTAAACGCGATTGTTTAAACATGTATAACTTATAATTTATGGTATACAAAATCGGTCAAGTTTTTCTGTTTTTTTTTTCTTTCTCAAAGTCAAATCGGTCATCTCGCGTATGCGTTTAGTTTTCAAAAAAAAAAAAAATGCGACCACTACCTAATACCTATTTACACAGTTGCGTATAGTTAATTATGCGTTTTGCTCAACGAGTTTTTAAACGAGTTTGCAGTTTATATTACCTATATGTGTTTTCTAATCGAATGTTTGTACAATAAATGCATACAGACACACGCGTGCGCTAATAACTATATTGAAATTAATTAATCTCTAAAAAAAAAAAATCATAAGTATCAATCAATAATCTGCACGAATGACCGGTTATTATTCGTACGCGTATTTAGAGTTTATTTAATATAATAAAGCCGCGAAAAGAATGGTGACTTTCTGCGAAAACATTCTTTTTTTTTTTTTTAATCACGAGGTTGGAATTTTGTAAACACGTACCTAATAACTGCACAGTGCACGGGATATAACTTTGAGTAATAAGGATTTCCAAATGGTTATAAACTTATATAACGATTTACAGCGACACAAACAATATAGTACCTACCTATATTGTTAAGCATTTCAGTATTACATTACCCGCAGTTAGTGGAACGTTATTTGTATTTTTAAAATAATTGCGAGAGTATCCCTTTACAAATTCTCGAAACAAAATTAATTTGTGTAACTGTTCAATAAAAATGATGCGGTTTTTTTTCAACTCCGTTATAAGACGATGTTTTAGAATATACGGCCGCAGATTATTTAAAATTATATATTTATTGATTATCGTTTTGCTCATCGTCGTTAGAGCTATGAAATATTCCAATTAGAATTTATGTTATGTTTTAATGAAATATATAAATATTTGTTTTTTTTTTTGTTTGGTTTTGAATTACATTTTATGAATTCATAATTCTGACTAATATTGGATTCAATTTAAACTTTAAATATTATATTTTTTATTAAAATTGGCATTGGGTCGTAATAAACAAATATCTATAGTTAAAACTGATTGAATTATTCGTTAAGAGGATTGTTTATTGTACTTATTTCATTTTTTTGTTACTAATTAATAATTTTTAAAAATTTACGAATAGAACCGTTCAGTGCCGATTATTATAGATATCTACCGTTGTTACTGTTAGAGTTTTAACTTAAAGTATAAATTGTGTACATTTGTCTATAGTTTTCATTAAAATGAAATATTTTATGAAATTTTCGTGAAATATCTATAGTATTATTGCTATTATATATAACCTAACCTTACTAGTGTTTAAGATTCCTAAATATAGGATTTAGTGTAGAGCGGAGGATTTTTGGTTTTATTGATCCGTACCTATACCTATGTATGCAATTATATTTTATTCATTCTAGTCAATTATGAAATATATCAAATGATTTTAATCCGTCGGGAATTATGAAAAAAAAAACAACGAGTTATGTGCTTATATAACATTCTGTTTTGACAAACAAAACAGAATTATATTTAAAATGAATTATTAACAAAAAAAAAAAGTGACTAATACTATAAAAAACAATTAGGTATATTTAATATTATGCTTTTTGTTCGAAACGCCATATAGTATTATCCAATATATACGAGTATAGAGGTAGTGATTTTTATTTATGTTTTTTTATTTATTTTTAGAAATTATTTATTTTTCCTCGTATTTTATATTTATTATTTATTTATACTCGTATAATGTTTAGTACCATATTTTAGATTCTGAGTGTAACTATAATTAGTTTTACTAAGATGTGTGTTATTTGATTTTATTTTTTTTTATTGGAAAATCCTTTTTCGTGGGTGAAAATGATGAAATTCGTTCATGTAATACTTTAAAAGTTATGTATTTTCCGCTTGATAGTGCTTTATTTTTTTAAAATTCCTAATTTTTTTTTTCAAAAATGCTCTTTTTGTTTTTTTTATAAACAACTTACACCATATATTAAAATATTAATAAATAATAATCAAACTGATTAAAATTAATTGTTAGTCTCTGAATTTTTTTTTTTGTTGGTTGCTTGGTGTTTTCGAAAAACACTTTCGGTTAGTAAGAAGGTTCCAAATTATTCGCATCGTATATTAAAAGATGGGTATTTTTTGCTCGGTGGTACTTTATGTTTTTAAAAAGCTTAGATTAACAACATAGGTTTTTTTTATGTAATTTAAAAAAAACTAATAAAAAATGTTGATATATCGTGGTTTTATTTTTCTTGATTTCTTTATTATATTGGCTACATGACAAAAAGCATGACTGATATTACTACTTCACTCAGAATAATTGTTTTCATTCGTAATGATTTATAGTTATATACAGCATAATATAAAGTTAAATACCCTGTATACTTTACCTTCACAACTACCCACCTCTTCAACAGTGACCTATCCGTGAGCAGTATCAACTTTTTATTATACTTTGCGACGATTTTCCCGTTTTCTCATTATTCATTAATACGAATATTGTGTTTGTGTAATATACCTAATAATATATGCAAGTATATTTATCAATAACATGTTTACCAGTACCGCAAATATAATATATACAATCTTTACACTTTACACCTAAGTAGTATTGTATACTCGTAAATATTGATTTATTTATTTTTTTGTTTCGAGTATTGCACAATTTTATTACCATACGTACTATTTTATATACTTACGATTCAACTTTTTATACATATAATATATATGCACGTAAATATGAGAAATATAAGAAAGACCAATGAAGTCTATTTCATGCATAATTTCCCGCAAAAAATAGTTGCATACTATGTTGATTTAAGTGTTGTTTGAAAAAAATTCAAAATTTCTGAAATAAAACCGAAAAAATTAAGGAATATATCATACTACATATTTACTTATTTATTTCAATTGAAAACTGACAAGATTATAATTTTCAAATGTATATCTATATATAAATAATATAAAATATGTTAAAAAAAACTAGAATATCGTATGATTACGTTTAAACGGATAAACAAACACAAAAAACATGGTGCAAGGGCTCATTCTGACCATATAATAGATAATGGGTGAATGGGGAGGGGGAGATTTGTAAAGTAATTAACTGATTAATTTGACGGGGGCTAGGAGGGTCCTTAAATGCAATTCTCGAAATTATGTAAAGGAGAGTCGATGCGTCTAGATAAAAGCTTTTGTTAGAAATTAAGGTTAGCTACGTGTCTCCGGTCAGCAAACGAGTCAAGGCCAAGTTGGTCGAGAACTGCAAGCGTGTAATCACGGGGAGGACATTCGCTTTGTAGAGTAAAGAAATGTTCGTTGTTTTTATATAATCCAGCGTGCAGAGTTGCTTGCCGAACGAGCATCCCATAATGCGGAATTCAAGGAACATGCTTCATAATAAATCTAAAATACATCGTATACCATCACGGTAACAAGAACTCGCCGAATACAATTTCCGTCCGTTTATATCGCGTATAGATGTTCTTCGTTTTGTTTTGTTTTTTTATTTTTTTCATAGTCGGTTCGACGGGTGTTACGAACTATAAGTAGGGTATATATATAGACCGTCCCAAGCGAGATTTTTTGTGTAGCTCGTCGATAAATAACGCATTAAATATCGTACCAGAAGCCAACTGGTACCGCGGTTTTGATGTAGTCGGCAGGTATAGGTACACAGAACTATTATAGAAATACACAAAAGAAATAACGCTTATTTTAACACGTTTAGGTGACCTCCACGGCAATTAAAGGTGTACTTATATAGGTATACGTTGTACACACAATATTATTATATAAGGTACCTACTTAGGTATACATTTTTATGTCGGATCTACAATTGCATAACGTCCGTATAAGGTTATATTTTGTCTGATGAAAAAAAAAAAAAAAAAAAAACCAAAACCAAAACGTCAGGGTGTCGCCTTGTTCCACATATAATATTTTGTACGCGGCGTTTTTCGGAGATAACAGCGACCGACGATGACGTTATACAAGACAGTAATCGGATTTTCGAAAAAAAAAAAAAAAAACCGTGCTGTATGTACAGGTTTCTTTTTACGATATACTTCGATATAGAAACGTGTAATGCACCACTACTGTCGCAGATGGGTGAAAAAAAAAAACAAACAAACTGGAAACAAGTGTCGGGTAACGAGCGGATACTAATTTGAAATACAGACCGACGTATAATACATACAATTATTACTATTACACATAATATATTATAATAACGTTACTCGTATTATGCAAACGATATTTCCCGCAGTTAAAATATACTGCTGCAGTATATATAATAATATTTTTTGTACACTCTGGTATTATCATATAGGCGTGGACGGTTACGAAAACACGCTATGAACTTTTGGTTTTTCGATCGACAAACGTTAGAGGCAGAAAAAAAAAAAAATATGACACGCGGGTTCGAATGGTATACAAATGCGGTTAATCTATTTACCTACCGCGAGGCCTCGGGCCGCGCACACGTGTCGTGGGTGTCGTTGAAAAATAATAATATTATCGATTTCCGAAACACACGTTCTCGTTTTCATCATGTATACATTGGTATTATATTAAAACAGAATAAACCGCGATTTAAGAGTCCGTCACAGTGGAATTTTCTGTGACCATTTCGGCAACAGATATTGCAAAAACGCAAATGAAACAGCTTTAAAAATTTGATTTGGAGATAAAATGCTTGTTGCTATACAAATGTGTAGACGTGATAACGTTTTTCGGGGTGTTTTACACTATTCTCTGTTGCGAGTATAAACATTCAACTCATTATCGATGCTACGAATTTCAATTTTTTTTTTTTTTTTTTAAATAACTGTGTAACCAAGAAATAATAATTCGAGTAAAATACGCCAAAAATATTGACACACATTCCCCACGGGACGTACGTACCAAACCAATAATAATATGACTTTTTGCCCAATTGATTCGACACGGTTTCTTGTATAAACGGTGGGTGTTAAAAAATTAAATCAGGTAGGTTTACCTACCCGATGCGTTTGCAAATTAACGAAATTATACTGAGTGTGTTGAAAATGCGGCGAGGAAATCCGCCGAAACCCTAGAATATTATAATACAAATAATTCGCACCTAAAATATTAATGTGATATTTAACGGATTAACGCGGGGTTTTTTTCTCGCACGTAATAAAATAATATTTGTTCAATAGGTAGCGAAAAATCGTTTTTTATTTATTTTTCAACAAACTAACGTTTTTTCTATACCTAACGAAATTATCGTGCCTAACAATATAAACACAATTTTATACGGTGGTTTTTTTTTTTTTTTTTATACATGTTTTTACATTTGATATCTATATGTAATAATAACAATAACAATAATAATGATAATAATAATAATAATAATAATTTTAAAATCGCATTCGGTGCATATTGTAACCTCGCGTACATCAAAAATACTCATCGTATAGCTATTTATTTACCTACTTTATAGTTCAATGGAAATATCCATTTTTTTTTTTTTTTTGTTTACTTAAAATCGATATGTTTTATGATGGTTATTGTATTGATGTATACTGCATTCGTATTTTGTCTCGGATCGTTGAAGAGGGACTGCATAGTACAACGAAATCATCGTTTCGAACAATTCCAATTATATCAAGTCGAATTTATAATACTTTCTTTGAGTCGCATAATAATTATTATGTCGATTATCATCGGTCGTGGTTATTTTCCTTCAAAAATGTAGATGCCGTTTTCCCCGACTGTCTATTTTCCAAAAAAATAAATAATTTCGCTCCATTACCATATTATAATTGGTATATTTGTGATTCTAATAATAATTTGTATATCTACATATACATATTTTATATCCAAGCCAATGTTGAATTTTCGTGACGAAAATGTGTTATCGAATTTTTTTCAGTATCGCTGACGTGTGAAAATCACTCTTCGGAATTAGTTTCAACTCTTATGTTTCATCGAAAGCTGACGAACCTCATAATTTGGACATTTGTTTATGACTGAATTGATTATAATATTTGTAGGAAAATGTACCCATCCTCGTTATCGTATAGACTATAGAGGTTTTGAATATTGATATTTTGTGTATCATCGCTAATTGTATAATATATTATTTTCACTCTATCATCGACCTCGATATACGAAAACACAGGAGTTTTGTCATGTTATTAGTTTTTTTAAAAAATGTGCGCGAACATACATACCTATAATATATTATATAGTTCATCTAGGCGCATTTCCGAGTTTCATATAATAAGTATTGAACACTTCCGGAAACTCTGTCGTCATAAACGTTTTATACATAAGAAAATCGAATATTGTTTCGAATTTTATATAGAATGTTATGCAGTATTTATAGTCTTAAAGGTACCTTACACTCGTGTATGTAGGACTAATATTTGCGACAGACTCGCGCGCGTGTCTATTATTGGGTCGCGTCCAAAATACAATAACATCGTGACAACAACAGCCGTAGTAGGAGTGAAAAAAAAGGTCGTCAACCCTAAAAACGAAAAAAAAAAAACCGTATACACAATATACATATACAATTTTCATTGAAATAACATCAGAGTAACAGTCCCTCGCTGGCAATAAGCCCGGATGGACGCGCCATAAATAATAATCGTCCAGACACAATATTTAAAGCTGCATCAGTGTTCACGTTTTAAGTGGATCTATGTTTGATATTGTGTGCAATAGATAACAGCAATATAATAGTAAATAGTATAATATAGTGTCGATAACTGCATACGGTGCACTCAAATAACAAGTTTATCGTTACATCCATATATATTATACTTGTACTTTCTATAGAGGTACCTTTGTTAGAAGTATTATATTAGTTATTAAATACATCATATATCTAAATATAATAATATATAATAGCGTGGGCACTTGAGCCGATAATATTCCCATCGACATTATTACCCGAGTATATAATATAACACCGACACACACACACACACACATACACACGCACACTCAACTCCGAATTTTCGGGGATTTATAGGGATTTTTGTTTTGTGATTTCAAGTGAACTATAAAAGTTAGGTTTGCATTAAGCTAGAACTTCATATATTGATAACTGACGAGTTGAATTTAAGGAACAAAATAAATAATAAGTATCTACTACCTATTTCATGATATAGTTCATATTGCATATAATTTGATAATTACGAGCGAATCGATTTTTATTTTATTTTTTCGCTTGTAAACAACTTTTTTACTAGAGATCTTGCTTCAAACAGAAACTTTATAAAAACTTTCTTGTAGAATTTCCGATCTGGTCGGTATATTTAGGATATTACAGTTTAATTTTTCTTGTAGTTTTCTTAATAAAACGGGGAAAACTGTCACTTTGTTATAACATTTTTGTTGACTTTTGGGTTACCTAAGAAACAAAGAAAAACATATGACTAATAATACTTTGCTCAGATTCTTTTTTATTGACGAAAATTTGCCGTTTCATACAGATATAAATTAAATTACTCACTAGACTCTTCCTTTCAAGTTTCCTCTTAAAACAGTGGCACACCCAGAGTATCATCCTTTTTAAGAACAATATCATACGGTTTATGAATAAGTATGTAAATGTCACTTACATTCTAATTAAAAAATGTTGTTGTTTTTCTTTTTGTATTTTTTTTTTTTTTTTAAGTGAAATATAAGTCTTTTCAAATTGTGATATTTTACATTTTTAAATCCCGCTTGGAAATTATAATATCGAAAAAACCTACGTGATTGTACAGATATTGTTCTAATCTTTAAGTTTGATAATACATAATATATCAATTCAGTTTAATATTAAAACTAACAGCACACAGTTGTCCCTGATAATGGGAAATTTGTCACACGGTTATAATTCGGAGAATGCATATGCGAGTAAACGCCTTCATAAGGAAGACATACACGCCCCAGTCCATTTAAATCTGTTCTTTGTTATTTATTCTTCTACAATGGATTTTTTCCTATTTATTGATACAGCTAGTTTTTTAATTTTTTCGTTTTTCCTCGTCATCTATTCTCCCGTTGTTTCGTGAGTGCGTTAGGTCTTTTGAACGTGTATCTATATTTTTTCACACTGTTTATTAAATCGTTAAATATTGTTCGTAAATTTTTTTACGCGGTAATATATTACGACACTTGGTATCGTACGCATTGTAATATTATTATAATAGCGATCATTTGGTAAAAACCGAATCTCACACGGTATCAGTGGTATACTATTGTATAATATAGTAATAAATAAGTATTTAATAATTATGTAGTAGTACCAATAACGCCCGAATATGTTTTATGAGTAGGTACTCAGAACGTCTTAGAAAAAAAAAAAAATAAACGAATTTGTTTTAAATATTAGGTATATATATATATACACATTTTTATAAGTAGACACGGGACCCATATTGTATATCTATACTCTTAGTTAAAAATCGGTGACAAAATTACGAAGAGTAAATTTTTTTTTTTTGTTCATATGAGTTGTATCTTTACTATCTATTAATATATATTTTTTTTTTTAGATTTTGAGCGCAGCTATTTTTTTTTTTTCAATACATTTTTCGTATCTTAATTATTAATCATAAGTTATAATGATTTATAACATTTTTATTATGCTATAAAACAATCGTCGAGTCATTTAAAAATATACTTTTATTCAAATCGCTCACCCGTCACCGTAAATTATTACGTGCACGCTTATTTGCTAGACAGAGAGACGGATAATTATCTAATTTTATGATATTATTCTTCCATTTTAGTCAACATTTTACCAATGTTCGATTTTTCGTAATTTTCATCAGATGACTGTACTATAATGTATACATACATAAATTATAAAATGTATGGAATTATGCAAGTGTTATGCAGTAAATAATAATATTATATTATTACAATCATTAATGGAAAGCGATAAAACTGAAATAATAAGTAAAAACCTCAAAAGGAAATTTTCATAAGAAAACCACGTGTAATATAAGTTTAAAATATACTTTATTGACTTATTGTGCTTATTAGGTAGATACAGAAACGTCGAGTACACAATTTGTTTTAGCTATCGTAGACTGCTCTTAAAAGTTTTTTAAAGAATTTTATTTATAATATTACGTTATGCTTATTTTAATGCTGTACTTGCATTGTATTATTTACACAATTGTTCACGTTTGGGGTTTTAAAATAAAAATAGGTTTTTATTAAAGTCCGTCGTTTTTTTTTAGATGAGGCCAAAGTTACTAGATACCTAATATAATAAAACGAAATTCGGAAATTACGAAATCGTTAGCATCGTAAACTTTTTTGTTTTTCTATACGAAATTTCCGGATTTTTCTAACTATTAATCAAATTGCACGAAAAAATTACCTTCTCGATACACTAACAAGAAAAAACTTACTGTTAGAAAAGATGCTACTCTTGAAAATCGGAGTTTCAAGATTTCTGGTAGAGAAGTTGTTCACAAACACACATACACACGTACACACTACATATTACATATTACAATGAAACACATTTCTCGTTGTACTCAGAATCTATCATAATACGCAACATGTATTTATAATATACATACCATATACCTACCTATTTTAACACGAAATTAGAAACGCTGCAGTACTTATAAAAATTTGTCTATTCTCGTGTATTTGAAATGTTATTTACAGCTTAAATACGTATAATTAGTTATCTACCCACCATAACTATTAAGGAAGATTTTTCTTTTGAAGTTAATTTTTATCTCAGCGCTGTACCCATACCTTTTACACTTATGTAGTTGCGCTAGTTTATTAAACTAATATAATCATATTTATATTATGATCCACATACGTTTGTTATACTCGGGTTAATACAATAGGTCAGAAAGTGTTTGCGGTATACTTACATAATATATATATATATATATATTAACGATATTATAAGTGAGAACGCCACGGCCACACATATGCATTATATCATGTAAGAACGATGGCGACGACGAGATATATTTTATGATTTAAACGCAGTTACAATATTGACACGTTGGCTTTAATTGATAGCGTTAATTTTTGTAATTTGCTTGAGGCAAACAATGGGAAACACTCAAAATAAATTACTTTTGTTTTAATAATGTATGCATTGTTTATTTTAAAACAATAAAAAGTCAAACACCAAGAAATTGCATAATGCTGCTTCTTTGGCCTACATAAAGAAACATAGATAATGTGTACACACATCTTGTGTTTTCTATTTTGTCTATTATTCGTATAAATCTACTATAATATCGTTGTAGTCGAAGCAACGGCGTCATTTTTTTTTTTTTTTTGGGGGGGGGGATGAGGGTGGTGCATTTGTACCAGTTTAACTCTGTGCTTTGTCTTAAGTATTGGTTTTTGAATTTGGGAATAAAATTACGAAATACTGAAAAGTGTTTCGCATACACTAGTAATTCTTAACGGAGACAGTCCGGCCCCCAGACAGTATTTGGGTTTAAGAGGGTATGCAGGTTTGGAGAGTGTTTGTTTAAACATTTAGAATTTCGTCGTGGTGAACTAAAATCAACTCAATTTCAGGATCCCAAGGCGGTCCATTCGCGATCACATTATCTTTTTTCTATACCCCTTTGTACCATCAATAATAAATTATCCTCGTAAAGGCCAATGTTCTGGTTGATGCGTATGACACTAATGAGGCAATGAATACCCGTTCGCTTCTTTCTGTTAATATGTTTATTATTTTATTTTTGTAAGTAATGCTTGTAAAGTTTTTATTTATTAATGTATATATATATATATATATATATGTACATTATTCCGTACTCTGGGCTACGGTCCGTTCTGTTATAAAATAAATAAACGAACAAATAAATAATACTATACCTATGATCACTATACATAGTCATATAATTATGCAAAGTTTCCCATATTTTTAGGTTTGGCAAAAGGGGGACGATGCCATTTAGTTATCTCGATTGAGGGATGCTGGACGGAATAAAGATAAAAACTACTGGTATATACCTATTGTTTGCATACCTTCAGAGTTGATTATAGTAATTAATAGTCAAATTTTCGATTTTTAACTTTTAAAATTTAGTATACCATATGATATATACTTATTATCATGAAAATTTGAAATATCTGTTTAACGAAGGGGAACGGAGAGAGTTTTTTTTTTCTGTAAATAACTCATTTCCTCAATCAGTGGCGTGCCCAAGAATTTTCAATAGAAAGATATGTAGTAAATAATAACGATGATTCATGAATAAATCGTAGGATCTTCTTCTGTTTTATTAAATAACCAAACCTGACAGCAAGAATTTAAAAGCTGAATCCAAATAAAACGTAACATGTATTCAAGAAACCATGATTTTTCTTTTTAAATATGTTTCGTTACTTCAAATACTATATGTTTTTTATTACGTTTTACTGTGGGAATTTATATTTTACATTTACATTAGCAATAATATTATTGAAACGCTAAAAGCATACCTAATTATTATAAACTAAATTATTCAACATGGTTTTGGAAATAAGCGTGTGGGTCCACATGTTTCACATCGTATACGTCAAATATTATTATTAAACTACATTCAAATATGGGGGAGTCGTTGCCCTCTGTATATTTTTGTACGCATAATTTATTTAATCGTTTAATATAAATTTGTTAAATTATCCTTTTTTCGTATGCAAGCACGTGCGTGTATAGAATGAGTGAATAATCTATGTGTAACCAACAAAATATAATATATTTTTTGTTATACTGAAAATTATAATTTTATAAAATTCGTTTTACATAGTTGATCATTTAACAATGTTAAAATTATTATTGTCATCGTATTTTATAAAAGTATATAAAACTAAATCACTCCAAAGCGAGATTAACGTTCATAAAACATTATGCCAATTCATAATAATTCCAAACATCAATGTGTACCACCTAGGCGAGCCGATAAAGATAAATTATATTATTGGATAGACACCGATAAAGAGGATTTTCGAAACGGAACATAACATAATAGCCATTTTCTTATACATAATTATTATATATATATACGATAACAGTATTATTATATCGCTTTAAACAACTACAACTGCACCGGTGTGATGTCCATTCATCATAGTGTTTCTATTATGTACGGATTTATTTGCGCGGATTGTATACACGAGATTTTAAACTATGAACCTGACTTAGAAATGATCCATCAATGTCGACACTCGGGAACAGGCTACGAAATGTGTATACAAGCACACAAAACGGTTAGATTTATTACCTGCGAGTCATGTGGATTTATTATTATTATTTATCATTTACTCCGTGAATTTTAATAATTTTATATTATGTTATCAAAATGCTTACGAACACACGGATTTGACGATATCGACAAGATAATTTAAACGCTTTAATTGTTTATTAATTTAAACGATCAGAAAAAAAAAACCGTTTTCTTGTACATTTTTCTACTAACCTTTGCTCGTCTAGTATTTTAGATTCCGATTGGAATGAAAAAGCTATTAGTTTTACTAAGATAATATGTGTTTTTTTTCTCGGAAAACACTTTTTCGGTTACCTATTAAAAATGAAAAACAATTATTTTTGCGTCATACCTTAAAAGATTCGCATTTGTCTGTCTGTACTTGATTTGAAAAAAAGGTTAAGTTCTCAACAATTTTTTTTTTCAATCAAAATTAAAAACCTAAAATATGTCGATACATTTTATGTTTTACGTTTTTATTTTTGGGTTAAATTGGATTTTATTTTTGGCTCTGGGGTAAAAAAAAACATTACTATTATTACTATTCATAATGGTTTTTTTTGTTTGCAATGATTTATCGTTGCATAAATTACTTCGTAAATCCTACATTATCAACTATCCAACAACTATAACAGTGGTCTATCCGTGAACAGTATATCAACTATTTTATATGACCACAAATGGTTGAATTAAAATCGTATAATATTAATTTTTTATTTTCATTTATCAGTATTACTAAAAATACTAACATTTTTGTTTATTATTGTATATAGGGTAGTTTTAAATTTTTGTTTCACGACTGCAGTTAAGATTTTAGAACAGGTTTTAATTATTTTAGTTGAAAGACAAAATCCTTTCGGTGGGTGGTCTTCTTATATTACTAGTATCAATTAAATTAAATGACGTAATGATGTTATCATTCCAATAGGTTTCTGATTGAATTTTATTGGCATATACGTATAAAATTATTAAAAAGTTTATAGTGGATTGCGTACTTCTAAAATAAATTGTTATTTAAAAAATATAAGTAATTCGTTTGTCATCGTAATTGAAAAAAGTATTTGTATACGTTTGTGGATTGAATAAACTTTATTGAAACCCTTCCGTTTTAATAATATTCATTTGTGTTATTGTGATCCAAAATCAGATTCGTGTATTTTGTGTCATATATAATTTGAAGACCGCTACGGTCCTGAATGTGTTTTAAACAGATTTATATCTGCGCGGGCTTTATGTGCTGTGAGAGTTTCGTCTTTTATTTCATATTATTATTATTTGAAGAGGCGTTTCGACTATTGAAAATTTCTCATGAAGAAAAGAGAGAGATAGCAGCGAGTAAGAGAGAGAGACAGTGACAAAAGGTATAAATCTCACGTCATTTGCAGCACTGCTAAACGTATATACCTACGCTTCTGTGATAAATCACGCCGTAATAGTATTATTTTTATTATGACTTGAGTGATTTTTTTTTTTGCATAATCCAACATGAGCAAAAACGGTACTACCTTCAGGAATCATTTATTGATCAAATTGATTTACTCGAGTCAAATATATATCTACCATAAATCGTATAAAATAATTTAAATAACCAAAGAATGTGATACTACTCACCCGTAGGCTACTGTTGTAGGTGCAGGGTAGTTGGGAAGGTATATGATATACACAGTAATTTAGTTTATATACTCTATGCAACGATCAATTATTGAAAACTTAAAAGACAATTTATAAGTGGAGTACTTATAATTTATATAAATTATAAGTGGAGTAAGTAGCATAGTTTTCTTTTGTTGCCTAGATAACTCTAGAAATCAACAACAAATTCCCAGTTTTAGGTTTCTTAACATAATTTTAGAGGTTTCCACGTTGTGTTCGTGTGTCCGTATACTTACGGGATGTGGCATGGCGTGCATATAAGCAGTGTAAGCGTTGCTTACACTTTCAATCATGAAATGTTTTATGTGTATTTTTAATTGAACAATTTATGCCATGTTTATGTTTTAGCAATGTAAAATTATTTATTACATTTTGGAATTTTCGAATCGTATGAGGAGATGACAATATAAGCAATTTTCAAATGTGTTACACGACCAATCATCGTGATATCAATATCATGATACTATTTACTATACACTTGTACTATCAGCGAAGGTACATAAGACACTGCCATGTTGGAATTCTCATCAGTCAATTTCATTCATTGACTTCAACAGTTCAAAATTATTATGATTACTCAATAGTGTCTATTTAGGAGTTATGGTTAATTATTTAAATCATTTTTGATTATATTATAGTGGCTCTCTGAAGGTGATAGAGGTATATAGCTGGTAGGTATATATTTTCTGGTGATTGATTACACCACTGACTACATCACGCCACACCGCTGCTTACGGGTTTTGTTGATTTAGTTGCTAGGTTATAGGGTTACTACGTTTTTATTTTATTTAATATATAGACTTAGGTATATTTTATAACATATATGGCATAAAATTTATGTTGCTATTGTATAATGATGTGTTTGTTATTTTTAAAAAAATAATTTTTTATAAATATAAACAGTGTTTTCTAATATTTATGTTTCTAATTATTATGCACATTTAACTGCGAAAAAGTAAACAAAGTAAATATATATATGTATAAACTATAATGTCTTTTCATACTACTGACTATTCGGGGCTTTTATAATTTAGATGTGTTATGTGTATGATGTGTATGTTTATGAATTTATACCTTCTAAGTAATAATATAAGAATTTTAAGTTGTATGTTGGAGGCAACTAAATAACTAAATAATAACTAATAATAACTAAAAATAATTTTAATTTAAACATGTTAAAATTGTATAAGGAACATTTTCTAGTAAGAAAGTTCTGATAAAGTTTTTGACTAGAGTTTTTTAATATTCATGGTAAACAAGTTGGTAATAATAGATAGACAAAAAAACACATTTCTCGCTGCGTCCTAAACCTAAAAAAATATTTAAATTATATACCTTCAAGAGGAAAATGTAACTTGATGTTAAAAAAAAAATTTAACTAACTCTAATATAAAATAAACCTTTAACTTAACCTTTTTTGACCGAGCACTGAAGATCGTTCGTTCGCGTTTGTGTTACCATATTATAATATATTTTTTCTATTTACTATCGTAAAATAATAAAATAGCGTACAGGTGACTATTTTGTTAATAAATTGAACGAATACTAATTTATTGTTATCGTACCAATATTATTTTGTTACCATCGTCGTTAATAATCGTAATAGTCATTTTAAATAACAATAAATATGCCCAGTCATTAACGATAATTAATAATAATAATTTTTTCTTTTAAACTAACTGATGACACCACCGCTCTATACGAAATATACTGTTATTTCGTACTGTAAACGGACACTGAAATGTTCATAAATATTTATGGATAGGTATCGCTGATATTGTACAAATACAAAATGCTGCAATTTCTATAAAAAATTTTGCATTATCATCGCAATTTACTAAATCGACCTTATACTAGGTATACATAATATTATAACATGAATCAATTTTCATTTGTTCTTAAGTATACTGAGTATGATAACATTTATTTATTTTTATCGTTATCATGAGATGTGGAAAAATAAAGTTATTTTTTCAGTGTTTCAGTGATGAAAATAAAGTAACATTTTTTTCTACTTTTGTATACAGCCCTTGCACAAAATCTTATTAAAAAAAAAAAAAAATGAACATTAACAGATTATTATTAGCATACGGATAACGCTGTAAGACACTATGCATATACAGTTATAATATTTTACCGTATTTCATAAATTTAAAAAACTTAGAGTTTGGAACTATTTTAATTAAATAGCTAGATTTTCTAGTAATTAGAATAAGTTTAGTAGGCAGTTTAGTTACCAGTGAATAGTATAATTAAATATGGGTGATTATAAAAGACAAATTAACCCGAAAACTTTGCGGGTTTTAGTATCTATATCGGCTTATGACGGTTCTCACTACTAGTTTTAAGTCAATCTGACAACTTAGTGGGATTAACCTCATTAATATAATCGTCAAAGTCGTTTGACCAGTAAAGGATACCATAACCGGAGAGTGAAGATAAGAAAAAAACAGAGTTATACGTCTATAAATTTAATAAAACGTTTAGAGTAAATAATATTTTAGAGATTGTAAAAAAGAGAGACTACTATACGGAAAGTGTTGGAACTGAATTCAATAGAGAAAATATTTTTGGGATAGCCGAGGTGGAAAAATATAGGAAAAAAACATTGAAGCTTTAGGAAATGGACCAAATCGAAACATTTTGGCGATGGACATAGATAACTAAAGGTTTGTCCTAGAATCGAAGTAAACCCGAAATAATAATAATAAACATTTTCTGAAATTCAATTTACAACAGTTGTACGATAACCAATATATAACTCAACTATACGATGTGCTCTTCCGGGAGGGGGGAGGGTTGTAGATTACTAGAGTACTGAAGTTATAGGAATGGTTAAAAAGAAATACAAGTCCATTGGCGGATAATATATTAGTTAACCGCTCTTAAAATTTTACTGTGCACTAATGATTCACCGGTTTGAAAACCGAAAAATTCATTATATTCTAATATACCTTCGGGAAAGGGTTATCTGAGATAGATCCCTCTTGGCTTTATTTTAGGTAATTACAAATTACTTAGTATCAAAATAATATACTAATATTATTGCTAATTATTTTATTAATTAATACAAATTACGATACACATTTAACATTATATTATTAAATAGTTTAGTTAAAGTACTCACCAAAAATTAATTTACATACCTATACCCCTTCTAGAAGACCATAAATGTGTCACTGTTAAAGGCTGAATAGGTATACGGAAATTACTAGGCGAATCCTCACCGATAATATTATACGGATAGCCCGATACGAATGACATTGACAAAACACAACCTGCGAGAAATTACTGTAACTATAACAATGCCTGATAATATTATTATACAGTCAATGCTGTATTCGAAAATAATAATTAACTCGTACACGGTTCGGTTTATAGATATTAATTACGTGCCTATTGTGATCGACATTATTATTGTCTAATGTTTTTGACGGCTATGTATTACTTGAATTAAAAATACAAAGTGATTCCAGGACTCTATTGAACCGTAAACATTTTTTTGTTCGTTTTTTTTTTATTAAAAACTGATTTTTTTTTTTTTTGGTGATATACTTTTTTATACATCTGTTTTTATAAATTACGTAAAAACGTGTGTAAAAAAAAATATCTGAAAATACAAAAAAATAACGTGCGGAAAATTAGATTTTCTTTTCGCAAAGTTTATAAAACGAAATAAAAATATTAATTATTTTTACTCGAAAAAAATATATACACTTAAGAAGACGTCAAACCCGTCCGGGTTATTTCCGTTTTACGGACGCACGACTTAGTCAATTATCGTTCAGCCAGTAGTGGATTCAGAGAGACGACAATAGGGGTATTTGCAAAGACCATAGTATTCTTTTTCATAGTGGCAAGATATATACCAAGTTTCATTAATGGTAAATGGTTCTGCTCCCCTCACAAAAATTAAGCCCTGGATCTGCCACTGCGTTCAGCAGGGACAGCGCTGTGTAGTAAGTTTTAAAATTAGAGTGAGTCGACCTATTATAAAACTTAAAGATAAAAGGATAAGAACATTACCTGTGTCATGTCGTTGAATTATCTTTTTAATTTTTTTTTTTTTGTTAAGCGAAATGTAAGTATTTTTAAATTGTGATATTTCACATACACAAATCTCGCTTGGAAATTAAAATATCGAAAAAGTCTACGTGATTCTACAGATAATTTTCTCATCTTTAAGTTTGATAATAGGTCAACTACATTTTTATATCAAAATTCACAGCACAAAGTTGGTCCCGCTGAACGCGAATTTGCTATGCATTCGTTTTTAAGACGTAGACAGGTGTGGCGTTTTCTTATAAGTACTTTGGTTGTTTTTAATATTTTATCGTATTTTTTTTATAATATATTCTATGACTTTGGGTTTTAAAGAGGATTATTTTAAGGCGATATATTTTTTTATGTCTACATTGAATAAAGGTAAATTGCGCATTAGATGAAAAATATAATTTAGAGCCCTAAACATCGTAAAAATATAAATTTTAAAATAAAACTATCAATAGGCAATATTATAAAATATTATATAATATTTATTTTGTCCCGGGGAAGAAAAGAGCTTGAGTCAATATTGTTTGATTTTCAATACAAGTATAGAACATTTTGAAAATTGTGAAACAATGACAGTACAATTATTGTTGAATAGCCTAACCTAAATATGGCGTTTTAAATTACTATCAAGTCATATCAGACGCGAACACAGAGAAAGAGGAAGTTAAGGGTTCAACCTCTCTATCGAAATTTTTTAAATAAATATATTTTTATAGAGTCACGAAACATAACTGGTTGAACATTAAAAATGTTAAACCCTGTCTAAAATATTTGTTTATGTACACGCCGGAGTTGTATTGCACATGCATTTTTCTAAATAAAAATTACATTATAGTGAATATATACGTCGTTTGCATACGCTAAGAGGTAGACACTATTATTATTTATCCCGACGGATGTCCGTACGAACATTTTATACGAATTTATGAATAAATCATAGAATCTTCGCCTGAGTTATACTTAACAAGCGACAGTGAGAATTTAAAAGCCGGATCCAGAAAAGCTATTTTTTATTAAATAAATCAGGCATTTAACTTGGTTGACGTGTGTATACTATTGTAAACGCGAATCACGTTTATTTATTTATTTTTCATTCTTTCATGTCACAACAGAGCGAAGCGATGTTTTGCCTAGGGATAGTTGGATGACTGGGAAGTGACACAGGCTTATATAATTTTTATCCCAGAAAAACTCTCATTCTCGTGGGAAAATTCTTTGATCCTAGTATAAAATGAATTAATACTGAAGCGAAAGAGTGAATGTGTATGGCGTCATATACGAACGAATTGACGTGTTTTTTCATGTAGGGATAGCCGGAGAGCTGACAAGTGTCACGTGCTATTTTTCATGTACTTTTCACGAAAAAACATCTTTCGCCCTCGGGAATATTATTAGAGGAAATATAAGACATATTTAAAATGACGTATGTATTTTGAACTGACGTTTGTTATTTTTATTTGCTACCTTCTTCCATAGATAATAAAGATATGGATACGTCACTTACATTTGTACATTCAAGGCCTCCTGCCAAGAGGAGCGGTACTGTTTATTTCGTATACATATCCAGAAGCACGCATAAGAGGAAGTTGGGTTCGATAATATATGGACCCCTATTTTATTCACGGATAATTTTATATTGCCTCCTCTCATGTTAGTTCTTAAGAAAACTTACATGTGTCTATTGTGTACGCCCAGACCAAATATTAGTAATATCGTTTACTATAAAATATCATAACTTTAATAACAGTCAATATTGTATTCATAGTTATAATAGCAAATATAATTTAATTTAAAATAGTCGTGTGGAAATATGGCCAGGGCGAAGCCGGTTAATACAGCCAGTATATTATATTATAAATAATTCCAAGACAAAATTACAAAATAAATACTCATAGTTGTAAGTGTACAACGGGGAAATGGGACATAACCTCTAGGTTATATTTCAGGAATGCAGAAGAATTAATTGGACACGTATAGTTAACATTAAAATCATAAATTACTATATATACACATATATATATAAACACGGCCCGTGAGACGGCTCTCAGCACCCCCACCCCCCTGGATAATGCACTAAGATAGTGCAGTATACCAATATATGTGGTGTTTTGGTGTTTTTTAAACCTTTTTTTTTTCCTCGTTTAGATATCACCATGACTTCGCCAGCAGCATCGCCCCAAAAACCGGCCATCGCTAACTCCGCGGCGTCGTCACCGGCCCGTCAGACAAACATCGTTCAACAGACGCCTGAGCGCCTGCCCACTGCTAAAATATCCCCGCCGACACTGGTCAGTGGCAAATGGCACTGTGCCCTGCGGGACGACCCAGCGATGGCCAACGGGTCAATAATGGCCTGCATGCGAGTTTGGAGATTCTCCAAGCTGCTGTTGCAGACCGGATGTTAGGAGACGACGGGAGACGACACTACACGACTGCGGCGACGGCGAAAACGACGATTTTAGACTAAATACCTTTAGGGTTTTTTTTTTTTTTTTTCATTCACACGATATTATACCCTCTATAATTATGTCCCTTGAACGTTTTTTTTTTTTATTTTACTAGGCTATAATAATATTATTATTGTATAGTCACGATGTACCGGTGTAAACATACTGTAATAATGTACCTATATAAGTATACCTAAGTCATAGTATTATTATTGTATAACACGAATATAATATTATAACATATTGTTATAACGCCCGAAATGTATCGATCCAAATAATAATAATTGTAGTACCTAAGCTTGGTAAATATTGTAATATTAATATTAACGATTAAGATCGCGTATTTTATTGTAAAAAATTCTATACTCGACCAAAAAATTATTGAATATTATTATAGGTCAATGCGTACGTCGACAATAATCATTCACGACTCGATATACATTGTATTATATAGTTTATAAGTGTTTTTCATATCACAAAAAAATAAATATTTCGTTCGCGGTTAAACGTGGGAGTTCTGGTCGTGAAAATATCGAGAAAATTGTGTTAGGTACCTAATAATAATAATAATAATACCTATAATAACGTGTAGGTAGCTTGGGAGATTTACACGGGAGAACGGTACCTAATTTTTCTGGGCAAACGAAAATCGACACGTTCATGTGAAATAAAAACACGCAGAAATGCCCACGATGATCCTGCGAAATATTGATTTGATAATAACATTATGTATTTGCGTATTGTATTTCCGAAGGTGATATTGTTTTTTTTTTTTCACAATCCGTACGAACCATACTCGCGAATTACTTTCATCCCTCAGACAAAACACTGCAGTTGAATTATTCTTCCTAAATACATTTTTGTTTTTTCTTCCCACGGTTCGTAAAATTGTTACAAGTACGATATTATATTATAATTTTATCGTATATGTAATGTTATAATATGTAAACCGATTGTAATATTGAAATTATAACGATATGGCGATGATGATAGGGACGTATACTTATATACTTATACATATGTGCTGTGCAATAATAATTTTACTATAATATTGTAAAAATATATTTACGTATCATTTATTATTATTAGAGAGACGTTATAATCATCATTATGTTCAAGTTAAAAAAGAAATACGACCGTTTCTCTATAATTTTTAGCTTCATAGCGGTTTTTACATTTCGTGTGTATAGCATTCAAATTTATTCGGTACGCCCATATCATGTATATAGAACAACATAGAAAACCGACTGTACACGATATAGAGACAATAAGAATATAATAAGACATGTGAAGTTCAGTAGCCATCCAGGTGCGGATAGTCCACCTAACTGAGGGCGAGTCGTATTGATCGACCCTTATGACTTAGTGTACTAATATTCAATCGTTTATGCCGTGAATTATGCGACATACTATACAGAAAACCCCGGAGGATTCGACGTTGAAACATTTTAAAATATTTTTCACGTAATCCATGGCTTAAACCAATAGGTATATATGTATACTTTCATATGGTTAATCAATACAATTTACCGTCTCGGTCTAGTTGTAATATGGCTGCTAGACTTGCCGTCATAGTTTACTGTCGTAGAGTCGGCTATAACAATATATCTGTAGTTGTTTTATATTTCTGTGGGCGCACCCGAGTGTTTTACGCGAAATTTAAATGTTTATAGATTTATAATTACAATACAGGTTTCTCTATTCGCGTTGTCGTGACAATTTTAAACAATATTGCACTAATTTCGAGTCGTTCTATATTCCGTAGTGTTTCGTTATTGACTTTGATATTATACACCTGCGGCTATTTTATATTTCGTACGCGTATTCGGCACATTTAAAAAATAATTCCTACTAGATTTGCAATAATTACAATAATATATGTATGTAAAAAAAAAAAAAAAAAATTTAATACATTTTATTTCTTTGTTTGTTATGCCGTTCGGCAATATAACATTTATAATATTATTACCTATTGTTGTTTTATCAAAACGGTTTTATTAACAAAATCATTGTACACTTTTTTATTAATTTCTTTTATTAATTTATTATTACTAATTATTACTCCTATTATACGCGATCAGTTTATACGATTTTTCAATAATAATTAATAATAATATCGTTAAAACGGACAAGACGCCTATTATATTATAATATTATATATTATTAATACATTTTTAGGTTAATAGCCATTATTGGTGATAACATTAGAAATTTGTACGTTTCTATTAAAATATAATTATGTACTATTAGTTTACGTGACGTTTTATATAATATAATTAGCTAATTAATAGAATTATTAACGATAAAGATATTAATATATTATTCATTATAGCGAGTTTCTCAAACATAATAATATTTTGTTTGTTTATCGTACTCGTACTTATGTATGCATTATTGTTGTAAGCAAATTTTTACAATTTTTATTATTAATATATTATAATATACAATTTAAAAAAAATTCACCTTATTTTATATGCTAGAAATCTCGCTTCAACCAAAAACGTTATGGGAACTCTCTTGTAGAATTTTTGATTTAGTTGATGTATTTAGGTGGTATTTTTTATTGTCCTTGTATTATTTTATTAATTAACGGGGAAAACTGACAATTGTTTGCATATTTTTAGTAGCAATAGAAAAAAAGGCATCTCCATTTCCACCTAAATGAACCTCTCCATTTTCCACCAATACTCGTTACAACCAAACGTATCTCTTGCCGTTTTCTATCAGCACTCGTTTCAATTAAAATTAACCTCTTTCCATTAGTATTTTATACTAATACAAGTTTCCAAATTCGAACAATGGTTTTAGTCTAGGGACTTTAAAGTCCTCTGACGAACCAAACCGGGTATTTTTTTTTTTATAAATTTGGCTTCATAGTTCATTATATTTACAAATTTAATCATTCATACTGTGATTTATTAAAAAAAAAAAAAAAAAAAAAAAAAACATTAAACACAATGTAAATTACGAATAAGTGAAAAAAACTGATGTCTTATATATCGGACACTATGACCTAGAGGATTCCACTTTTTCTATACCTCATTTTAGTGGAAACTGGTATTGCTGGAAACCGGTGCCCCACTGGAGAAGAAATACGACTAATAATAACACTACACAGAATTGTTTTTCGTAGACGATGTATTATCGTCGCGCATAAATATAAATTAAATTAATTCACCTATATATCTTCTCTTTCAACGTACCTTTAAAAACAGTGGCACACCTATCAGCAGTATTAGCTTATTTTTTTTTTTCTATTTTGTTGTCACGCTAATAAGGTGTTTTTTTAAATTTGTATTGCGCAGCGAAAATACGCAGTGTAAATCGTTGTAAATGATTATTATTTGTAGTGTATCGTTTAATATCGGAATGAAATTGCATTATTATAATATTTTGATTAAATAATGCATACTGTATGTAATAATATGTATTTACGAGACGTTTAATCAACGCGTACGTCAAAAGCGGTTAATGGAATTTCGCGTGCTGTTTACCTGTATAAATACGAAGTTAATGTAAAATTATGATTATAATACAGTATTGTGTACGAAATATTTAATTCTAACGCGTATAACAGCATACACGTCAAACAATATTAGTATTCGTGGTATATAATAATAACGGCGCGTTGATTAAACTCTCATAATATAATTTTTGTACCGGCCTTGTCGTTGCCGTAACGTGTTAAGTCGAATTTCAACTATAACCTACGTATTAGCAATAAAAATATAATCTCGATACATTCCGGAATTCGCAGTATTGTAATGGAAAATATAAGGTGTTTGATTGTATCTAAGATGTATAATACCGACCCGAAGAAATGGCGCTCGAATCGTGTAAAAATCAATATGGGGCCTGTGTTTAGTTTAGAAAACGAGTGGCGTGGCCGGTAGGCCGAGTAGGCCCGGGGTCTATACACTTCTATTTTTCAAAAACAAATGTTCAACTTAATCTGTTACGACCATAGTTATATAACTATAATACTACTGGTAAAAGGCGGATTTTTTTATCTGAAAAAATAAAAACAGAACGTTATAAAATTATAGATTTTAGACGTCATAATATTATACTCCGGAATAAATCGAATTTTTAGTGATCATTTTGATAATATCATATAGTAAAACGAAACTGTTGAAGCTTTAGCTCATACTTTAATTACATTTATAAACATTGAATTAATTTGTCATTGAATTTTATATGACTAAGTTACAATACCAATACCAATACAAACATGTTTTAATCTTTTTAAATAATTTTAGTCCCACGAAGTAAAAAAAATACAGAGCTGGTCTAGAAGAATCAACAAATTTTGAAATCAAAATTGTGTACTAATATACTTACATCCAAAAAAAATATCGGCCTAACTCAGTAAAAAAAAAAATGAACTATTACCACTGTGAATCAGCCATTAACGTTCTGTAAATCGAATACGGAATAATTATAGTTCTTTGTTCTTGAACAGTAAATTAAATTCGAATTTAGTCAAAACAGTACTATGTCTTTTGATAAAAAATATTGAAATATTACGAAAAAACAAAATTATCAATTCTATACGAATTCCGGCATCGCCTGTTTCGAAAATGATTTTAATGAAATTCGTGTTGTAATTCAACCAAAATTTTATCACTTTGATCTTAAAATAATTATAATCCTCGGGGTACAGTGGAAGCCGTTAAAATTGCCTAAAAGTAATTAAAAAAAAGGTATATGCATAATACATAATATATATCATAAAAAAATCACATATAAACATAATATTTTATCAAGTATTGTGTTTATTTGGTTATCTAACTTCTGCCCCTTTTTAAATACTCAATAGGGTTGGAGTAGGTCGAACAAAGTAACAACGCAAAAGTCAGCCAAAGTGTTAGAACGGGTTGATGAATTTTAATTTTGAAAATAGATTTGATCACGTTCAGTTTTACAGATTTTAGTATTGGAAATATTGAATATGTAGTTTTATATATAAATAATGGAAAATAAATGTGTTATTTTTTTGAATTATCAATATTTTAACGATGAAGTTAAGTGTGAAAAATCGCTTAAATCACATTATCTAGAGAACTAGAAGACGAAAGGAAATTTGAATTCGTTTTTATCAAGTCTCGAATTTTAACAATTTTAAATTAAAATTAAAAATAGTAAATAAAAACTATATATTTTATGATTTATTAATAATATTATAATATTACTTTTAATAACTATATTATTGAAATATTGTAAAATTATTTTTAATTTATTCACTAAAACGAAATGCTGTAATTTTGTAATTTTACATTTCAAAAAATTATAGCCATGATGTATAAAATATAACGGATACTTTGTTTCTGTAGTTCACTCGGGGTAATTAAATTAATTCAAATTCGAAGAGGTACTGAATAAAGTCTCAATAAAGTTGTGTGGATAATATTTAACATAAATTGGTTTAAATTCTATAATTTTTGGAAAAATTGCCTTTCCTTGATTTTTGTCGTGTCAAATTTAAATAATTCAAGACTACTGCGAATTCGAGTTATAGTCGACATGTTTTAAACAGTTGAATTAATCAAACATGTATGTGTTTAATGTGAGAAATCTGCAGATTAAGATTAAAATAGTATCCACTATTCGAAGGTTTTGCCATTGAAACGTAGTGAAAATGTCCTCGTTCCCAAGAAAACGTCCGCTATTAGGAGGTGTCAGTAATATAGAAAGGGCGGTTCTAACCCAGGATCAAGTGCAAGTGCAAGTGTCAGGATCAAGTGCAAGTGCCAAGTGCCATACCTAATACATAGCCGCCCAAATGATCCATCTCTTCACCTACCTATATTCCCCCCTCCTTCACTTTTTTTTTTCAAAATATTTTCTACGTACTAATTTGTCTTCCTTATCACTGAGTAACACTACACACACACTCGCACACATCTACCTAACCACATACATACATGTACATGATAGCAGTATGTAATAAAAAAAGTAACAAAAAAAAAGTGGGGGAATATAGGTAGGTGAAGAGATGGATAATTCGGGCGGCTATGTATTAGGTATAGCATTTGGCACTTGATCCTGGCATTTGCACTTGCACTTGATCCTGGGTTAGAACCGCCCTTTCTATACTACTGGTGTCCGTTACAGGAGGTTTCACTGTATATAATATATTTATCTATCCTGCGAACAAAATTGTTCAACAAATGTGTAGTAAATTTTGATGAGTTTGTAGATCCTGCATGTTGTATCAACACTATAAGTATATACATTGCACGTCTTAGCCCTTTAAAATAGTTTCCCTTAATCATACAAAATCAGTAAAAACGCAAAAAGAACTGGAAAGTACAAAAATAATGGTTTATTATTTTAATATTTTCAATTTGATTTTTTTATTGTAATTCAGTTAAAATATTCGTAAAGACTTGACAATTTAACTTGAAGTTCATTATAAGTTGTGTTTGGTGGTCAAATAAAATCTAGTAAGTATAATGTAGTAGTTTTTTATACATGAGTTTTGAGTTGACATTTTTACGGAAATCGTGAAATTATGGCATTTCACTGCAGGTATAATCAAACTTCGTCCAAAGTCGTTTTTCGTTAGCATTAATTTATCGTTGCTTACAGATATAAGTTAAATAACTATACGTACCTTATCCTCCCAACTTCCCACCAACAATAGTGTCATTTTCGTCTTCAGTATATTTTTAAATATATTTTCCCACAATAGACGATTTCGATCCGAACCGCATGGTTGCGATCATATTATAATATTACGTTGGAAAACTTTATTTTTATATATTTTGCAAGATTAAGTTTTTCTCACCTTCTTATACCTTTTTATGTTTGATATACGGTTTTATTTCCTGTAATATACACGTATTTTAGGTTTTATTGCTCGTATTTTCGTATTAAAACGTTTCAGACGAGTTCCTCAATTCTATAATGCTTCCGCGATAACGGAAGTTCAAACTTTGACATTTTTATTTTCTCGATTCATCCGGCACGCAATGCTACTCCGTTTGATCACACATATATTTTTATATCGGCGTGTGCAAAATTACAGTTCACTAGTCGTTACAGTCTGAAAGTGAAAAAACAATAATGTCTACACTAGATATAGCCCGTGTCCCTGAATTCCGTGTTTTATAATCGAAATAAATTCCTATAATATGATTTATCGTTTTTGACTGTTATGTGTTTAGTGTGCCTTGAATTCTTTAAGTAAAGTAAATTAAAAAACAGCGTATGAAGCATTTGATGAAAAAAATTGGAATGTCGATCAAAAGCAAAATGAGAAAATTTAGAAGAAGAAAAAAAGATTGATGAATGTGTGACTCAAGTTCGCTCTGTTTTAGGAGCTAAGTTGTAAGCGAGGATTTATAGAATAATTCAATTTAAATCTGTACACACTGGTAAATCATTGCTCACGTAAAACCATTCTGAACGGAATATTAGTCGTATTTCTTCTCGTATTGCCAATGTCTCAGCAATCAAAAAAAATCACCCGTTTTCCTTTTATTAAGAAAACTGCGTGGAAAGTCAATAATGACCGTATAAAATAATATTGCTCGAAAGGAATTCATGTCTAGAAATTATATGTTTCTATCATAAATAGAAAATTAGTATATTGTTACAAAATTCTAGACCTAAATTTTTTTAAAAATAACTAACGATTTTTGAATGAAGGACGTGGATGATAAGTTAATCTTTTCCATCTTTTTTGGATGACTAACTGAAACGTGGTACGACCTTAATTTTTATTCAATTTTGGCGCAGTTTGTAATTAGTCCTTTTCGCACAGCGTTCATTTTCAAATTAACACCAACTCTATCTCATAATTTAATACAGCTCGGTTAGTTTCCCGAACTTCCGAATTCGTCCCAAAATTATGTATTTTACAGCCTAATGACTTAACTATCACACACACATTATATTATAATGGTTTTAACTATACAATATAGTTATTTTGATGATAAAACTTAATGTGCTTGACAAAATATTAACCATTAGCATTTTCTTTTTTCTAATTTTGATTAATTCACAAACAATATTTTGGGTGTTAATGTTAAAATTATTGAAATTATTGAGTGTCTCTAAATCATCCCTATAAATGATTAAATATCGCCTATGCTTATACATTTTTACTTAAGATAAAAATGGTTATATGAAAAATGTTTATCATTTTTTTTCTTTTTTTTAATCAACAATGTTGTTATAATAATTACGGACTGTTGATGATCGGATGTCACGAACTGTCACGTGAAACAATTCGACGTAAATTAGTTTTATGAAGTATTATTTTCATATCTGAGAGTCGGTTCTACGTCGAAATTTCTCTTGTCGAAATATCTCCGGTAAAAATATCTCCAGTTGAAATATCTCCGATGAACCTACGGGCCATAGCCCCCAATATAAATTATTGAAATCTGCCGTACACATTTAACTATACTTTTACCGAGGAATCTCGTAATAATACATTTTCATCAATAAGTGAAAATAATAATGCATACTTTATTACTTCTATCGTGGATGAAAAGTAGATTAATGATAGAAAAACGAGTATTTAATTTCGAATAACATTTAATTTCGTACGGGCGAAATGACATGTACTATAATCGTATCAGTTAGTTATAATTTTGTATTTTTTTTTTTTTAAAATTGCATACACAATTTATATAATGTGCCACTAAAGTAGGTAACTATAATAAGTTAAATAACTATAATGGATCAAATATTTACAACAGTACTATTGAAATATGCATTTATTTATTCGGACCATCGAAGATTCGACAAATTAATTTTACGAATCACCGCGGTGGAAATAAAACGGTGTTCCGAAACACTTTTAAAATTATATTGATTGAATATAAAATCTGTTTGTGACTTAAAATTCTTGTTTAAATCACAATAAGACCATTGGTACTTATAATGTTGTCATAAAGGACAAACTAAAAAGAAACTAACTTATAATATTATGTTAAAGTGTAATTTTATTATATTTCACTAAATCGTTTGGAGTATAATAATCAAACACTGCGGTATTATGCTAAAATGTTTTGAAATTAATTTGCATTTTCATTTGAACCATTCAAATTAATATTATGATTTCTGTTCAAAAACGCGCTTGGTAAAATCGCATTAAATTATTTATTTGCATTTAAAAGTGCTTCCGAGAGAGACTTTTGTAATTTAAAATATGTATTGTGAAACCTGTGAAATACAGATTAATTTGCTATATTCTTTATGGTCTCGCGAGTTAATGAGAAAATTATATATTCATCTTCATGTAGGTATCTACTAAACAAAAATATTTTTAAATAATAAATATTGCAGATTATTGTATTGAAGTATGTCTTAAGGTTATGTCAGGTCCCAGGAACGAACATAATATTTTGGGGACATTTTAATATTTAAATTATGACATAGGTCAACATTTTTTTTAAACACATATTGTATATTAGCTATTAAATGTTATACTTTATGACTGATAAATTATCAGTAAAAAGACAATGTTTGTTTGAATATCTGTTACTTTAGTGTTTATTATGATTTCAAAATGTACTATTGATTAAAACGTGAACATATTAATTATTTATAAATAAATAAAATGTACAGAACAAAAACTAAAATTACTGTTATAAAAAAAGTATTTATTTGTATACATTTGTAATTTTAGATTCTGCGTGGAGCGAAGAAGTTAATGGCTTATGGTTTTACAATGATGTTTGTTTGTAACTTAAAGTTAACTTTTTTATTTGCGAACAACTTTTCTTCCAGATACATTACCCCGATTTACAAGTGTAGCATTTTTTCTAAAAGAAAATCTGACTGGGGTGGTACTTGAAGGAGGACATTTTTTGATTTTCTCAGGAATTTTTTCAATATATTGGAAAGCCGAAAAGAATACGGATAAAAAACAGGAGAACGGGACAATAAGTACAATATTTAATAAATTTTATTAAAGGTTAATTATTTTATCATAATAGGACATATATATTATAAAAAAAGCAACACTACCTATTGAATTTGGCTCAGAACTGTTTTTTCGATAGCAATAGTTAATTTTTGCTTATAGATATACCTTAAATTACCGTCTATATCCTACCTTCTCAACTTTTCACTTACAACTGTGTCTACACCCACGTGCGAAGTATGTCCGTCTTTTTAATCTTTATCTGCTTACTGTTGTAACCTAATGGATTTTTCCTAGTGTTTTTATTTGTAAAGGTCTTCTATAATATTTGTATTATCTAAACTTGATAATTGTTCATGTTCAATACTCTTTAAAGATAAGTAGTTTATCTGTTTCCGAGTCGTGGTACTTTTAAGCTCTTTAATTATATTAAGCTTAGAAAATATGATCGTTCCCCACTACAGTAGGTAATCACTATTGATAGAACAAATTCTAAAAGATGTTATTGTGTTTAGAAATGTTTCTTTTAATTCAATTTAAACGCATTGTGTATATACTAGAAATACTGAACTCAAAAACGTTAAGTTCCAATAGGTACCTAACTACTGACTCTACTTATATTAGTGATTTGTACGAATAAAACCACGTAATACGTGTTTTAATATTGCCCAAGTTGTTATACAAATGATTACTTATTATTTTACGGTTACTTGTAAAATAAATAATTTAACAATTATAGACAAACAATGTCACTGAAACACTGAATCACGACCCACAAAAAATATTCCAAATAAGCAAACTAAAATAGATATACAATATTATTTGTATTTATATAACGAATGAAAATTGGATAAGGATATATTCAGAGAAAAACATAAAATCATAAAATATATTTTAATGTCCCAAGTATTTTATTTATTTTGTTTTTCTTTGTTTCGGAAAGAAAACTCAACGTTTTTTTTTTTTTTTGATTTCCGAATGAATACAGTTTTATCAATAATTATAATAATACAACATCTTAAATCATAAATAGGTATATAATAATAATGTTTAATGAATCGGATTATTCGTATTGACTCTTTATTATATCGTAGGCACGTTCAGCGATTACGATACTAGGCGTTTGACTGTACGCGCTGGTAATCATCGGCAAAACAGATCGGCCCACTACTCGCAAGTTGGAAATACCAAGCACATTCAATTTGCTGTCGACAACAGCATCTGAGTCCGTCTCTAATCCTATACGACAGGACCCTGCTGTACTCGACGTTGTTGACACCATATACTTCAACAAACACTCCCAGTGTTCGTCGGACTTTACGTCGTATTGCGCGCATCCGTCGATATCGATACCTTCCAAAGTCGCGTTTACCAGTTTCATTTCGGCGGCGTTTTCCATTTTAGACAGCAATTTAATGCCCTCCAGCAAAGTTTTCACGTCGGATTGGTCCGTTAGCATGTTGCCAATGATAATGGGACTGTCCGTCGAGTCTTTACTCCTCAACAGTATTCTACCGGTGCTTTTCGTGTTAATCAAAGCTAAACTGTAAATGGAAATCGGACGTTCGTCGTTCAGTTTGGCGTATGCCGACAATAAATTGTCACTAAATCCGTAAATCGATTTTAGCTGGCACAATTTCGAAGACGAGTTTTTGGGAACGTAAAATTGATGAACCTCGATGTCGGCGAACGAAGAACCAGATACGCCAGTGTTCAAAAACCCACCAAAACTCATACCTTTTGGCGAGCTCAATGGTCCCGAATGTCTAGCCAAGTATTTGAACGCAGCTTCTTCATCCGTCGTGCTACTAACCACTTCTTTGTCGTACGAAATGACGAAGCCTGTGAACACTGGTGTAATCAGGAATTTTTGACCTACCGGTAAATTTTTAACTATTGGCACGTTCATTTCAGTTAAATGCTTTTTGGGCCCGACACCCGAGGACAATAATATTTTAGCCGAACCAATAGAACCGGCACATAACACAACTTCCTTGCGAGAGCTAAGAGTTAGTGTTTGTCCGAATCTAGTCTTAATTTCGACTCCAGTAGCCTTATTTGTTATTTGATCGATTATCACTTTTGTCACTCTACTATTCTTTATGACTTTTAAGTTTTCGCGACCGTAAACCGGGCTTAAATATGCTTTGGCAGTGTTGAAAGATCTGCCGTTCTTTATTGTTCCTTGCATCGAAACAAATCCTATTTCGACTTTATTTTCGTTGATGTCTATTTGTTTTTTACAGCCGATGTGTTCAAAACCAGAACTTACAATATTTTCTAAGATTTTTACTTCGGTTTTCCGGAATTTCGTTACGGGCATTAGTCCAGAGTCTCCGTATATAGTAGTGTTCGTTTCACTTTTTACTACTGATCGAATTTTTTCTATTTTTTTAAAGTAAGTTTCCGTTTTTTCATAAGACCACTCTTTCAGGCCTTTTTCTACAAGTGAATTATATATTTGCTCACTTCCTCTAAGATAAATTTGTGGACTCGTAGTACTACTGCCTCCTAAACATTTTCCTTTATGTATTTTCATATTGCCGTCGATTCCAAATCCAGTTGTATAATCCGGTTCTATTGTGTACTGCCAATCTGCAAAACTGTTTAGTGTACGGTCCCATAGACCAGGGATTTGAGTAATGGGCAATACGTCTCCGCCTGCTTCGACTAACAATATTTTCCAACGGAAATTCTCGGACAGCTTGTTTGCTAAAACGGAACCGGAGTTACCGCCACCGACTAAAATGAAATCGAATTCTTCTCCGTCTACGATATAACGAGTGGAATCCATAGGATATATCATGTCATCCATAAGTTGATAACGCTGATAATCCAATTGACTTAAAACCTCTCTTATTATACCCACAGAATTTAAACCACTATCAAATCTGAACTTGCGGAATGTGTTCAAGTATTCGTAAACGGACACATTCTCTTCAGAGTAGTCTTCCTCGTCGTTGTCATTCTCTTCATATTCGGTTTGATCATTCGTATCGTATTTGCTATTGTTAGTATTGCTGGTTTCATCATTTTCATTTAATTTTTCATACGTGTCCCTTTCTTGTTCGTCAGTTATTATATTTCCATTAATGTCGACATTTTTCACATTTAAGCTTCGTTTTTGCGATAGATTTACCGTATTTTTATTTGATGATTTCTGCAACTTTTTGTAATAACTTTCGTCTTGTTTTGTGCTATATCTATTATCATTACTATACGATTCCGTGTCTATATCAACAGTATCATCGTTATCGCTCGAAGTGTATTTCATATTTTGAGAAGTCTTACCAATATTTTGTGTAATTTTATCCACCTTTTGAGTAGTCTTGTCTACATTCCGCGTAGTTTTATCCACAGTTTGTGTAGTCTTATCCAGATTTAGTGTAGTATTATCTATTTTGTGTGACGTAGTCTTATCCGTGTTTTGCGATATAGTCTTATCTACATTTAGTGAAGTCTTATCCACGTTTTGTGTTTTCTTATCTAATACATTGAGACTGCGACTGTAAACACTATTAATATTATTTTTATCGAGGCTTTGGAACTTAGATTTACTATTATAGTCGTTATATTTGCCTTCATAAATATCGGTTTTGTCCGATTGATCAGATTTTGATGTTGCATCAAAGACTGTGGCATCGATTTGTTGAGTTTTTTTCGATTTAATATCTTGACTCACTTGGTTGGTTTGATAGTTATTACTATTCTTATTAACGTAATTTAATTGTTTATTCTTGTTAACGATATCACTCTGATACTGTAATTTATTCACACCACTTTCGTTAGTATAATCTACGTTATCTTTTACATTATTATTATTGTTATTATTCGCTGAATATTGATTGAATCTACGAGCGTTTTTAATATTTTTAAATAATGCAGAACCCGTCAACTTTTGGTTATTTTGATTACTGTTATCACTTTGATAATAATTACTGTAATCGTTTTTATTATTCTCTACGATATTATTGTTCGTCGAGGTTTTAAAATTCGTATCAACAGATCGTTGAGAAGTATTGATATTTCTCGAGTTATACGCTCTGTCCGCCATGATCTTCTGATAATTTTTGTAAGATTCGTCGTTATTTTTATTGGCCAAATAATTTTTCAACGATCTATATTGATTGGATCGCTGTAAATCGTTATTTGAATTAGATTCGATACCCGTGTTCTGGTATTTTTGATAAATATCGCGTTTTGTTGTATAATCGTTGTTAAGATATTGCACGTTGTCGTTTTTGGTTATTGACTGTTGTGCGTTTGTTTTCAAATTTTCCAACTTGTACGACCCATCGACGTTCGTTTGCGAATCGCTGTTCTGATAATATTCTATTGCGTTTCCGTTTTCGTCAATTTCCACCGTTTTATCATCGAGTGACCGGCTAACGATGTTTCCCAACGAATCATATACGACATCGCCGTTCTGGTATGAAGACGAATACGTTTGGGTGCCACTTACCGACGTGGCGCTCAAGAGACCCAAACGAACGGCTTCTTGTTCGGTTAGCAAACGTGTCGTTGTCGTTTGCACGGTATTCGCGACGTAGCCCACCGGTACCGATAGAAAAACGTTTCCGGCGACGCCCACGCTACTCGACGTGCTCGTGCTGGATACCGTACTGGTCTGTTGGAAACCGTTTTGAACTCCGCCGTAGGTGGACCGGCCCACGACTGCAGCCCCGAGAACTTTGCTCGCGACAAAGGGAGCTGCGACTCTTTTCTTGAACACCGTTTTGGTGATATTATTGAGTTTTTTCTCGAACTTTTTCGAAAGCGCCCGGCTCTGCGCGAAATGGCTTTTCAGTTTTCGCGTCGATTGAATGTCCCTGTAGTCCAACTCTTCGCAACTGTCGCTGTTGTATTCGCTGCTGTCTTCTTCGGAGCCAGCATCTATATTCTGCAGTCGCGTGGTGAGGTCCGCGCTTGTTTTCGACGACGACGACGACGACAATCTAGTAGAACTGGAACTGCTGGCCGAACACGACGAGCTGCTGAAGGCCACCGACTTCCGTTTGGGTTTGCTCCAGTAACACGTTCCATCGCAAAGCCTGTAACGGTAAATGTGATATAACAGTTGTTTGTACATTACAGTAAACGTTTTGAATTTGCACATTTTGTTCTAGAAAAGAAACATAACAGTGAAAATATTTGATAGATAAATAATGATCAAATCAACTATTGTATAATATACTATTATTATCAATAAGTATCCTAACCTATAAACTATGTGACAAGCGAAAATCTACCGGTTTTATTTTCAAACGCGTATGAATTATTTGCCCGCTTTAAATTTAAACCGGAGCAAAGGTACACAGTTGTTGGTTCATAATGTTTATTCGTTTTGAGAAATGCATTTAAAACAGGTAAGGCAAGTAGGTACTTTAAAGTTTACGAATAGTGTGTATCGTTATATTATATACGCACGTTCGTATAAGCTGCAGTATATAGGTAGATACGACTAAGTAAATTGAAACATTTTATTACAATTTAACATTTCATATTAAATATCCAAGGACTGTAAAATATTTATTCGTTTTACGAGACGTCGTCGTTTATAACATTTTCGCAAATTTAATACCTCTACATACTTCTATAAAACGCATTCTTCCAATTATTAGTTTCGTAATAAAGTTGCCTATATATTCACTCAATATTTAATATAAATTACCCAACTTTCGAAGAATGTTCGATATTTTTATAATTACTTGTATATTAGTTTTACAGTCTCTCTCTCTTTCTCTCTCTTTTTTTTTTTTTTTTTTTTTTTTTTTTTTAATCTGTGTTCAGTACGCTTTTTGAAGCAATAAACACATTTGGAAAGTTTTGTACGGCAATTTAATAATAATATAAAACGGAAACGCAGACAGTATTTTTAAAACGTCAATTTTCGAGTTTTCCAGTCGGATGCTGCGAAAACTTTAAAAATAAAAACGCGAACACCATTTTAATTTTGACCTTTTTTCGCCCCCTCCCTCCTTACGAATTTGATATAATTATCACGTTCAAATTTAATATATATACATATGTATATACCTGTATCGTGATTATCTTACGGTGAAGTGAATACGGTGAAAACGAGTACTCGACACTCGGCAGGTAGGCATATCCGCATGAGCGCATCTCACGTTCATAAACAAAATAATTCGTACCTCTGGCGTTTGTATATTATGTTTTTACAGTTAATTAAACACATATAATTAATATTAATTTTCTGAATGATAAATTTAACGCACAATATTGTACGGGGCGTGATAAAAATAATTAAACGAATATTATAATTATTGCGCATTACCTACAGTGTCGTACAGTGAATTTGTATGCACTTTGTGCTATCCGATATACGTACCTACTCCATTATGTCGCGATACCAGACCAAATTCGAATAAATACGTCCGCGTTACGTGTAAAGCGTTAAAATCATTTTTAAAAATGTCTATTATGAACCTAAGAATTATAATATTTTAATCCTTTATGCGTTTGTTTTTTTTTTTATACGTACGGCGCACGTAGTAGTTGAATACCATAAAATATATAATAAAATATAATAAGTGTGTTATTTTATGAAATCAATAGAATTTCCAAATGATATACAGTGTGTCCCACCGTGTTCGAAGGATTTTTCTAGCGCTGTAATTTTAAATTTTTTTCGTTTTTTTTTTTTTCAATCGGTTTGTCTTTGAGAAGGGTATCGATTTAGAGAAAAATTAAATTTTTTAATTTTATCCCCTAAAGACAAAAAAAAAAAAAATATATAGCTTTTTATTTATTCACTTTAAGAAATGTTCGAAATAGCTATTTTGTAAAAAATATTCTTCAAAATGTGTTAATGTATTACACATTCATATCCGATGAATAATTTCTTAATTATAGCCGGTTTAATTAGGCGTAAACCAATTAATATCCAATAAAATAACACTTTATGCGATGAGGAATTATAATCGGTACGTAAATATTTCGTTACCTTCTATTTAATATTAATTGTTTTCACGTCTATTTTCTAGAAATTAAAACGGCAAACCGATTGAAAAACAAAATCGAAAACAATTTAATATTGACAGTGCTAGAAAAATCGTCGAATGGGACATACTGTATATTGATTTATTCGAAAAAATATTTAAAAAAATGTTTTTACGCCGACCGACCGAGTTTCCTGCCAACAATATAATAGTCTGTGGCTTGGTACAAGAAGAATCGATGTCAATTTTTTGAAAAAATCAGTTAAAAATAAAAGTTTTTGTAAAAATTGAAAATTACACAAAAAAATGTACATTTAATAAAATACACAGAGCCTTATGGGGAATAAAATTTCAAAGCCCATTTTCCGGAAATCATAAATGTGACATTGGCCATTCTTGTACCGAGTGTAGTGTTTAACGATCGTCTTTTCAGTCGTAACTTTAAGCACCTGTACGGTACCTAGGCGAAAAACACATTGCCATGGGAACATCGGCCATAGCATAAATGGCCGTACGCCGAAATTGCCAGAAGTAAATACGGTCAAATACAAAATGTTTAAAAAAAAAAAAAAAATACAGAAAAAATAACGTGAATTACAATAAGACAGACGGATATACTTACTGCACAGCCACTGCGATGATGACCAAAGAACGAAGCAAATAGCCCATTGTCATTTTTAAGGATGACAACACTTAATGTTCGCAAACGACACCGGTGCGGGTATTTATAACGCGCGATTCGCCGGATGATTATTCGAGTGATTATTTTAACAGTTGTCCGTACGCAAACTTTAATAATAATTGTAAATATGTCCGGTCGAGAGCGTATTGACTTATTATTCCGAACATTATCATATTATTTTGTTTACAAAAAAAAAAAAAAAAAAGTGATAACGCGCATAATTCGATTTACGCGAGTCGAATAAAATATGATTAATGTTGTTTTATCAGGTTTTTCGACAGCGGTATGTTTTGAAAACCGTTTTATACAAACACAACATTTTTTCGCAGTACGGGATACATATACACCCGTCCGTTTCGCTTTGATATTGTGTCAATTGAATTAATTTTGTATTTTTTTTCCGACGGCATAATATTAACGGGGATGTAAACAACGAAAAATATTTTATGAAAAAATACAAATAAATTAATCGAATTTAATCGCGCAGTCTATTCGAAAATAATTATATATATATATAAAAAAAACGATCAGTTTTATTATATTTTAGATTCTAAGTGGAGTTCAGTTACGCGTTACAAGACCAGAATACCAGAATACCAATCAAAAACTTTATTGAAGCTTTTTATTGGATCTTGTCGACGTGTTGTGAAAGATTTTTTTTTTTTAAATTTTGTATGCTTATATCTTAGTACAGAAAAGTATTTTCCTTAATCGCCGGAAAATCGATTTTGTTTGTTTTAGTTTAATTATTATAATCAGTTAAAAATAATCGTAGATAAGTAAACCTGAAATGTTCACTCATATTAATCCTTTTTAGGCGTGGTAGATTTTTCCAAATATTCCTGTGATTAAAATTATTTGAAATTCTTGAAAATTGAATTCGAAGTCCATCACGTGTAACCGAAATTTGTTCTATATTGTGATATCTTATTATTCTATCTTCCTAAATTTTTTCATTTTGTGAACAAGTTTTTTCCAATTCTGAGTGGAACGAAGAAGCTTATAGTTTTATAAAGATGTTAATTTATTTTTTTTTCTGTGGACAACTTTTTTAATAGAGAACTTGCTCCGATTTGTATGCATAGCACTTTTTCTGAAAAGAAATCGGTGTGGGGAGGTATTTTAGTAATGATAGCGATTTTTCTAAAAGGAAATTTCACTAGGAAGGCACTTTAAAGAGACCAATTTTCGATTTTCTCACGAATTTCTAAGCAAATGTGAAAATCGAGGAAAAAACACGGAAAAAACTTAGGAAAAACGGGAAAATCGGTACAGTAGACAAATATCATTAAAGATGATATAAATTTTATATATACATATATAATTTCTGTTTAATTATTTTACTATAGTATAACGTGTATATTGTTGACATGCTATCAATTGAACTTAGCTGAAAATCGTTTTTTCGTGAACAATGGTTAATCGTTGCTGACAGATATACATTAAATTACCTATAACAGTGGTTGCAGGATGTCTTATTTTGTTTGTTTTTGATTTTTAGCGGTGCATTAACAGTTATACTTATTTGATTTGTCATAATATATTTTACTCACACGGTGTTGTGTAATTTTTCAAACTGACGTTATTACCTACCCATAATAGTCTTACTTATATTATATGTATATATTCTATAATCTACTACAATTTACTGCATCGTTTGATGTTATACTTTTACCTCGTTCTTATCCCAAAATCGTTGGAAGTTTAAATTTCGACAAAATCCCCAAAAACCACGGGAATCGGAAATTATTTCTGTAGCTAATATTCTCCCCTGTCCTCCTCTTGTCTCTCCACAAACGGTCGCTCATGTAGGTGGGTATCTGTGTGAAGCTTTATTACAAGATATGTGTACCAATAAGGTAAAGTACAAAAACATCTAGTAACTCTAGTTACAGGCCCACAGCTCCTGATTGTACAGCGTTTGAGTCGTTTAAGGGTTTTGCAATTTCATTGAAACTGCTTCATAAAAAAAAAAAAAAAAAAAAAACTTTACGCCACCGCTGATGGTGTATTTACGATTGGAAGCTGGTGCGCATTAACACAATTTAGACGGATAAGTCCTCTTAAATCTAACATTACCACTAATATTGTAGAGAGTTGTGCGTATCTGGGGTGCGGGATCCAAATCCCCTAATCCTCCACCTCCCACGTAAATATATGCCACTGAATATTGTATCACGCGAGTGCGATGCACACTATAAATAACATTGTTTCTGGAATATTCTCTTTGTGCGTAATATAATAATATTATACGTGCACACGTATAAAATATTATGTTCGATAGGAATATTATCACTAACCTTCGTCTGTTCGTTTTCAGACATAACAATAATAATATTATATTGTCGTTTGCGCAATAACACCGAGTGCACGTTTTCCCAACGACAGAACGCATTTTCCATTTTATAGAAACGAGGATAATAATAAAATAAACTTATTGCGTTTACGCGTGTTTTGCCGGTCTAATACCGACTGTACAAATCCAATATTATTTAGAGGCAGTTAGGTGCCTGTCCATTATAAGACTATTTGTACAATTTGACTCGAGAAAAAACCGTCTCCCGACTTAACGGTGATAAATTATACTTGTATTATTATTATTATTATTTTTTTTTTCAGATTCCGAGCTTGGAGATGAACGGAATGCGTCTGTTTCGGCTTTTTACCGGAATGAATGATTTATTGTAGTTTTGTTGCGCAGCCTATTATGCCACAATACGATAATGTTAATGTATAATGTGCGTAGAAATATTTTAGTCCGTAAAAACGGTCGTGTACCTCTTCTATCTATAAATATGTTGACACCGGGCAAAGTCTTGTATTCAGAGTGATCGTTGAAATGTTAAAAATAATTTACGGATTCGATAAAATCGGAGAAAATTTAGAAAACCGGCTCCGTCTTGAAACTAACAGCGCCGTGTTGCCTAGACAACACATCACGCGTCCTCTGAGTCTAATTGACGTTATTATTGCGTATTATCGATTATTCTAGCGTATTGTTATTTTAATCGAACAACGGTTGTTTCGATGTTCTAGGTTTATTAGGATTGTGTGAGTATGCACGATCGTATATGCGTATATTCTTCTCAATCCCGTGTACTGATTTCGTATTTTATATCGCTATTACAGTTTTTGATTAATTTTACCGACAATTCATTACCGGCGGTGTGTGTACGCGATATTCATATCATATTATTTTGTAAATTCGTACGTGCAGACAGGTACACTCGATGACATTACTTGCGTTTCCTAAAGGAAACTATGTCACGACCTATAGTTGAAAATATACGCGTATTAGGTATTTTTTTTTAATATTATACAATATCAATTTCCAAAGTGCTTTTGCGGGAGGGTAAATAAGTCATGTGCACAGTCCACGTGAAAATCGCTATACGTGACTGATGAATATTCCACGAGTTCGTTAAATAATAATATGACTGACCATCGTCGGATGAACCACTTAAAATAATATATTTTTTAACATGTACGCAGAATTTAAAAATTTAAAAATTGACCTTATCATCAATATTTGCTCGTTTTATGTTATTCTTCTTATGATTTACACTCAGGTATTAAATTTGTTTCAATATTCATTTCAAACGATTATCGTGTTCTTATTATTATTCTTGTCATATGATTTTTTCTACCGATATTATGTCGTCCGGGATTCGCGAATTGAGAAAAATAACCAAACGAATAATATAATAAAAATATACGTTTGAAACGAGGAATTAAAACATTTTTAAATTGTTCAGAGTAACTACAGAAATATAAATATAGATATATAGATAAATATAGCTCTATAGATTCGTATCAAATACATTTTTTTTTTTACGATTTTTATTTTTTGATTTGAAATTTTAAAGGACACTTTTAAGCTCGCTCAGAAGTGACCCTCATTGTTTTTTTCAACCGTCCGAAACTTGCAGTGTCACAACTTGAAACGGTATATTATTACGTTGCAGCCATATTTATACCCTTATAGGAATAAGCTATTTTACTGTTTTACCATATTTAAATAAAATAACAACCTAACCTAACCGAACGTTTACTGTTTAGTTTACGTTTAGTGTAATGTTTCGAATTGTTTAAATTGTAATTATTTTCTTTTTCGAATATAATTTATCAATTTTTAAATTAAACTACGAACGTAATATTATAAGCAAGGCTGGATATTATCAAGTTGACTATTTAACAATTAAGTTAGATTTAATTTTTAATTTTTTTATTCACTTAATGTTTGAATTGACTAATTTGTTTACATTAACCATTATAATAATGCGAGAAGGGTCAATGTTAATTTTTTGAAAAAATCAGTAGTTAAAAATAAAAAAGTGTACGATTTTTCATTTTCTAAATAAAAATTGTTTAAGTTTTTGTAAAAATTAAAAATTACACAAACATTTATATTTAATGAAATACACAGCTAAGCCTTATGGAGAACTAAAATGTCAAAGCCCATTTCCCAACAATCACAACAAGTGACATTGGACGGCAAGCCGCAGAATTAATATAATAATAAAACGAGCTTCAAGGAACGAATATAATATGAATAAGAATTATTATTCCACGTTTATTATATTTGATTGTTATAGTATTGTAAAGTTACTGGTTGTCACACATCCGACTGGCAAATAATTTTTCTTTTGATACCTAGTTTTTTATTGGACTTCTAGACATCCTCTTAACTGTTATTGTATTGCTCCATCGCATATGACTATACCTACAGTAATAATTAATATAAACTTGTGTAAATTAACGTAGCGTTTCGACAGTAACCTTTAATAACAACCATTGAGTCGATAAATTCTCTTTATATAAATGTTTTTAAATTGAACGGATTGCATTTTAGATTAGCGAATAATGCCCGTATTTAAAACTAGTTACAGTAGTCCGTGTCATCACAATAGACCGGTTACCGGTCTTCAGCATCGCTAAATTAATACAATTTCCTCATGAAAATAATAGTTATATTAACAGTGTCGTTTTTTTTTTTTTTTTTTATTATTATCTATTCATAACTATATTTTTCGTGCCCACATATTTTGTCAACATAAATTAATCTATTGAATTTCGTAAACCACTCGCCTGTTGGCTTCCTCGTTAACTCAAGAGCACAACGCAC